TTGCCTGCGTACATGAACTCATGCATATGGCATGTTATGAAGCAGTTGTGAGGAGAAATTCTCACTTTCTAAAGTTTCACACTGAATTCATCCTGTTTCTTGGCATTTTCACAGCTGGCTGAAAAATATGGCCCCATCTATACTCTTCATATTGGAACCCGGCGTGTTGTGGTGCTACATGGATATAACATTATGAAGGAAGCTCTAATTGATCATGGAGATAATTTTATGGATAGAGGAATCTTACCAATGTTTGGAGATGTAGCCAAAGGACATGGTAAGTTTAGTTTTCTGAAAAGAGTCACAGAAAAGCAAAATGTATGGCAAAGTATCTCCAGTAGAACGTCCTCCTCTGGAACATAGTTACTGGTTTCATTTTAATTGTTCTATTCTCAGTACCTAGCAGAAGACCTTCATGTAGTAGGTACCTGGTACCTGCCATTCTGTCATTGTATTTTAGTTTGAAGTGAATAAAATTAAACTTGATCAATGAACTAAGCCAGAAACTCCATAGCCATCATACACACTGTGCCCTCCCCCTTCCAATGTAAGAATAACAATGTCCTCTTCTCTTCTACCTAGGACTTATTTTCAGTAGTGGAGAGAGGTGGAAACAACACCGCAGATTTACCCTGACGACCCTAAGGAACTTTGGGATGGGGAAGAGAAGCGTTGAAGAGCGAGTTCAAGAAGAAGCCCAATGCCTGGTGGAGGAGCTCAGGAAAACAAAGGGTTGGTTTTCAGTTCTTTCTTCCTGGGCATGTAGGGTCCAACTGCTCACCTACTCCCAGTCCTAAATGCTATTTGCTTTGGGAATCATTTTAAAAGTCTCTGCCTTCATCTACTTACCAGATAATAACTCTGCCGGGTCAGAAAACTCCCTTCTTTTCTTGTGCTCAGGCATTATAAGTTTATCTAGCCTCCCTATAAGTAAAGACATCGTCCAGGAGAATAATATTCATTAGCCTTTAAAGAACTAAGCACCCTATCTAAGTATGATGCCCATATCCCATCTGATTGGAAACATTTCTATTAAAGTTGCTTTTTCCCCCCTTTGGTAACTTGTCTCCACATTAGGTCAGCCCACTGATCCCACCTTCATCCTTAGCTGTGCACCATGCAATGTGATCTGCTCTATCCTCTTCCGTGACCGATTCAAGTACAATGATGAGAAATTTCTCCATCTGATGAACTTGTTAAATGAAAACTTCCGCCTCGTTAACGAACCATGGATACAGGTAAGGCCAGAACTCTCTTCTTATTCTGTGGTTGTTTGCTGAGTTTCAGCAACAAGATCAATATACCATAGCCTCTCATCTCTTAGCCAAGGTCCCAACGCTCATGAGAACACACACACACACATTCACACACACACATGTCACTCAAGGACAATAACATCATGCAATATCTTTGGCTCTCACATAAGATATTAGGTAGATATCCTGTTCCTAGTTGGCACCTGCACTAGATGTAGATCATTAAAATTGAAGTTATATGGAGAAGTGTTTGACTGGCGCCTGGGGTATCTCTTCACAGATGTGACCAAGTAAAAGAGTTATCAAAAAAGAACCTGCCCAGGATATCCAGGAGAGAATAGGAAGGGCAAGCCACTTAGATGAGTAACCTACACTGATTCTGGTGGTGATCTGGCTCTGCCTCTACAATGGATGGACATGTAGGATGAAAACCTTCATCCACTGAAGCCAGAACTGAAGATCCTCATCCAGCTGAAAAACAAGCTTTCTTTTCCTTTGCCTATGTTCTGTTCCATTTACATTCTGGAATATGTACTTACAGTCTGGAATAGGTACTCTAGCTAAACCCTTCTGTGGTAGAACGTAAATTTTTTTGAGGATGAAGACTGCTTCATTGTTGTCTATAGCACCATAGCCTAGGACTTGGTTTATAGTGAGTACGGAAAAAATGCTTGATGCATTTTATTAACTTAACGTGAATTGAACTGAATTAATTGCATACCTTGGTGCCTGTTTATCTTCTTTTTTTTTTTCATGTTGGCCATTCGAAGGCAAGTAGATTTCCCCTTAACTCAAATATGAGCTTCTTTTGAACAACGACAAAATATTATGCCATCTGGTCACCTCAGGTGGGTAGCACAGCACCAGATAGATTAGTTTTGAGATATTTGACAACTTAAGGTTAGATTTGAGAGGATTTATGAACCTCTTGACAAGGTGGGGATTTGTTTTGCCTCATTATGTGTATTTTCTTGGATGGTTTTGTTTTTCTTTTTTGTTTGTACCAATGTGCAGTGAAGATGAGAGAGAAAATATATTTTGTCAATGAAAAATTTAATTAAATTTAAAAAAGAAATGGAATCTCTAATTTATAATGAGAGATTTTAAATAGTTTCTTCATGACAGTAAATTCACATGTGTTTGTTTTGGTTTGGGGTGTGTGTATGCAGCTCTACAACTTTTTACCAGCATTCGGAACATACCTCCCTGGAGAGCACAAAAGAATTTTAAAAATTAATGAGGAACTTAAAGATTTCATTTTGGAAAGAGTGAAAGAGCATCAGAAGGTCCTGGACCCCAACAACCCTCAGGACTACATTGACTGCTACCTCTCCAAAATGCAGCAGGTAAGATGCATGGGGGAAGCACCTTACTTGTTGAGTAAGGCTGATATTCCAAGGATTCTTACAGGCCACAAGCACAGAAGGGACATGAGAGAGAACCTCAAAGTACCCACATCCCCCAAGGATGCCACTGGCTTTCTAGTAACTGGTCTTTGGTCTGCTCGTATCCCTTATCTGAAGTCTGGATGGAAAAATGAGATTGGAAGAGTTCTGCTTTTCTGGGTGATGAGCTGGTGATCTGGACTCTCCTGTTTGGAAGGGGATATTGTATTGGAGAGTGATAATAGGAATCAACTAATAAATATTTACCAAGCAACTACTATATGCCAGGCACTCCGCTTAGTGCCAAAGACACAAAAGAGGCAAAAGACAGCCCCTGCCCTCAAAGAGTTCACAGTCTTATGGGGGAGATTATATGTAAACAAATGTATACAAAGTAAGCTCTAAACAGGAGAAATGGGCAGAGCTTGGAGTCAAAAAGACTTGAGTTCAAAGCCAAATTCAGACACTTCTTAGCTGTGTAATCCTGGGTAAGTCATAATCCTCATTTGTAAAATGGGGATAATAGCATTTGTCTCCCAGAATGGTCATGACGATAATTTTTCTAAAGGACGTGGTGAACTTTTAAACATTATACAAATACTAGCTCAAAATCTAGCTATAATTTTCTCTTATAAAATCACTCAAAATTAATTAATTTCAGGAAGGGAACAGTATTAATTTTGCCTCACAGAAAAATGAAGATGATACAAAAGCCTCCCAGAAACCCAGAAACCTATTCAGAAAACAAATAAAGCACTTACGGTATCTCATAATCTCCCCAGCTCAGAGTTGTCATCAGGACATCAGCCCAACATTCTAGTTAATCCTTAACTGTCCTCCAGTCCTACATGGTTCCACTCAGACTGATACAGGAAGCTAGGTTGTGGTATGGATAGAGTGCCAAGCCTGAAGTCCAAAAGACTTGTGTTCAAATCTGGAGTCAGACATGGTATAGTATAGTATAGTATAGTATAGTATAGTATAGTTATATAGTATAGTATAGTATAGTATAGTATAGTATAGTATAGTATATATAGTATAGCAAAGCATAGTATAGTATAGTATAGTATAGTATAGTATAGTATAGTATAGTATAGTATAGTATAGTATAGTATACAGTATAGTATTATATAATATAATATAGTATAGTATAGTATAGTATTAAATGTAATAGTATATATTAATATAATATATATATATATAATATAATATAATATAATATAATATAATATAATATAATATAATATAATATAATATAATATAATATAATATAATATAATATAATATAATATAATATAATATAACATAACATAATTTAATATAATATAATATAATATAATATAATATAATATAATATAATATAATATAATATAATATAATATAATATAATATAATATAATATAACGTAATATAAGTAATGTAACGTAATATAATGTAGTGTAATGTAATGTAATGTATATAATGTAATATAATGTAATATAATGTATATATAATAATGTAATGTAATACGATACAATACGATACAATACAATACAATACGATACAATACCAAATAATATCATATAATATCATATAATATCATATAATATCACATAATATCACATAATATCACATAATATCACATAATATCACATAATATCACATAATATCATATAATATCATGTAATATAATATAGTATAGTGTATAGTATAACTCTGAGCAAGTCACTTAACCTGTCTTCCTTCATTTCTTCAGTTGCAAGATGAATATAATAATATCGACCCCTATGGTCATAGTAAAGATCAAATGAAAATACTATTTGTAAGGTGCTTAGCACATTTAGATGCTTCATAAATACTTCTTTCCTGCCTTCCTTTAGAGTGTAAATCAGGGTGGGGAGCCTGTGTCCTTCAGGCACATGTGGCCTTCTAATTTTAACAGAAACAAATCTAAAATTTGGATTCAGTGAAAAGGCCACACTTAAGGATCTAGAAGGCTACATGTGGCCTGACATCTGCAGGCTCCCCATCCCTGCAATCAATGAATTAAACAGCCCCTAGAAGGAAAACTGGGTTTGGGAGCATTAAACAATGTGGAAGAAGATCTTTCTTGATTGTCAAGTAAGTCATGAGAATTCAGGGCTGGAGGTGGGGAGGAGAGAGTAAATGTGTTCTCTCCCCCCAACACCATCATGGCAGTGTCATGAACTCTTTCTCTCTGTATTCACATCATAACCACCTTAGTTCAGATCACCAGCATCTCTTACCGACAGTGACAATTCTCTCCTACCAGCTCTCCAAGCATCCAGACCCTCAATCCATTCTTCACAAATCTGCCAAGTTAACATGCATAAAGTGCAGACTCTCTGGGTTATTCCCATGATAGGAAGCTTCAGGGCTCCTAAGACAAAACACTAACTCATGTATTTGGCATTTAAAGCCCTTCACAATTTGGCTGCAGCCTCTCTTTCTAGGCTGGTTAACATTCTTCCCTCTCACAGCCTCCCTCTGTGCCCCAGCCAAGCTGCCCTGCTTGCTCTTCTTTGTACACAATATTCCATCTTTTGCTCTTTACCTTTATACAATCTGGCCCCCTCCTGGAATGCTCTCACTCTCTTTCCTCAACTCTTAGCAGCCCTAATATCCGTTCAACACTCAGCTGCTACCTCTTTCAAGTAGCTTTCTCTTATTCTTCCTGTTGTTAATATCCCACCCCCAAATATTCGTGCATTTATTTTCCATGGATCCATGTGTACTTATATTTTTATATGTATTGTATTCCTTCAGTAGAATCGAAACTCCCAGAGGGTAGGGGCTGTCTTAGTTTTATCCTTTGCTTTTATATCGCCATTACCTGGCATTCTGCTTGGCACAGAAAATACATTTGATACTTCCTTGTTGATTGACTGATTTCATATACTGACAAAATGTTAAACACTACAGAACCAGGTGTCATCATTGAACTGTTCACTAGAGACTTTCTTTCAGGTTGAAATGAAGGTATCCTTAAGAACTTTTTAACACCCTCCTTCCATATATTGCCACTCTGTTTCTATTGCCTCTGCAATTTTCCAGTTTTTTTCCAGGGGCCCTGGGCCAATGGGGATTTTTAAAAATAGTGCTAAGCTGACATAAAAGCATGAGAGTTTGATTCCATTGCTTTATCTTTTCTCATTAATTTATTTACTTTATGCTTGTCTGGTTTGAAGTTTTGCAGGTCAAATAATTGACTCATCTTGAGTTTCTGTTTTTTCAGGAAATGCTGAAACCCACCTTTTTTCTTGAAGTCCATCTTCTTTACCAAATATTTATTTTCTCCCACCCAATGAAAAAAGACAAATAATAACCTTCTTAAACAAACAAGCATAATCAAGAAAAATACATTTCTATACTGGCCATGTCCAAAATGTGTCCCTTTCTACATACTAGTCCATGAATTCTCTCTCAGAAGGCAGGTACCATTCTTCATCATTAGTCCTCTGTGCTCATGTTTGCTAGTTGAACTGACATGAGTTCATAAATCTTTCAAAATTGTTCATTTTTACAAGATTGATGGCTGTAAGTCCATCTTATTTTATTCAGGATGAAGGTTATAATTTGCAGGATTACTTATTTAGTACTATAACTTCATCTGCTTTCATTTTAATATTATTGTTTCACCTCTGTAGGCCTCAAGTTCTTTTTCTTCAAAATGAATGTGCTAGGCCAGTTGATCTCCAAGATGCGTCCTAGCTATAAATCCTAGGAGCTTGCGTATTTCATAGAATTTCATAGAATCTGTGGGTTGGAAGGAGTCTTAGCAGCCACCTAATTTAAGGGCTGTCCCAGAAAAGGGTTAGAATTCCTTTGGTTCCTCATTTCCCAGAAGGCAGAACTCATAACAGTCATTTGAAGTTACAGAGACACATTTTAATCTCCACACAAGGGGATAATGTCCAGATGTAATAAATTTCTTCATTAAGTAATAAATTCCCCATGTACGGAAGTCTTCAATGTGGGGCTGGCTGACCACTTAAGGGAGATTTTGAAAAGGAAACTTCTGATCAGTTACAGATTGGCTGGTTGAATTTCCGTCTCCCTACAAAATTTGAAATTCTGTATTCTTCTGCCCAAGACTTTTCTCTCAGTTCCCTGTTCTGAAAATCTGAAATCCCTTCTTTTTTTTTTTGAATAAAATGCTGTCCTGCTTTGTAGTAAAAGTATCTGCATGCGAGGTCTCTTAGCAGGTTATAAACTTTTTAAGTGAATTGCTTTATCAGGTCCTCACCATGCCACATATATCATAGATAATAAATAGAGAGCTGAAAGAATCCAGCTCTCTCCTGTTACATATGAGGAACCTGAGGCCCAGAAAAATTACACGACTTTCCCATGGACACAGACCCCTTAGCTGAGAATAAAGTTTAATTCAGATCTTCCTGATTCAAAGCCTAGTGCTCTATTCACTATATCATGTTTCTGGATGGGAAGAAGGTTGCCTAGGAAAGGTAAGCCTGTGGATGAACAGGGGAAACCTAAGAGCATTAGGAAGGTTATTCTGTTTAAGAGTGGGGAAATGAAGGTGGGGGAGGGCTCCTAGGACCAAACTTTAAGAGCTTCAACATGGTTACTAATGGCTTTCCCTGCTGTCTCTCATTACTTAATCTAATTTTGTATCTCTCCTTTAGGAGAAAGATAATCCCAGTCTGAATTTGACTTGGAAAATCTAAAAATGGCAGGAAGAGATTTATTTATTGCAGGAACAGTGACAACGCACAGCACCGTAAGATATGGCCTACTGCTCATTCTGAAACATCCTGAGGTCCAAGGTAAAGTACAGGAATTGCCATGCTTTCAGACCAGGCTTGCTTTCCCATCCTTGCAGCTTGCTCAGGATCAGGCCTCTGCTTTCCCCCTACTGGATTTGCATGACTTCCTCACAGATCAGCAACAGGTCAGACAGTAGCATATTGAAGACAACAGGACCCTTGAACAAGACCTGTTTGTTATTTAAGCATGTGGCGGTGTATTATGGGGAATTCAATTCACTTTAAACAGCACATATAAAGCTCCCACTGTGCACCCTCAGTTCTATGCTTAGCATATAAAGACTCAAATGAAACATCCGTTTTCTCAAATGGCTTGCCTTCTGCCAGGCATACTACTGCTGGATCTAAGGAGGCAGAAGTAGGAACCATAGGTAGACCTTACAAATTGACAAATGGAGACTTCATGTAAGGAAAGACTTACCAACTATTAAAATTCTCCAGAAGTCCATTCAGCTGTGCAGGAAATAGTGAGTTCTTGCTTACTAGAGATTCTCAAGCAAGGCTGGTTGACCCTTTGTTCAGTCCATTAGAGTCAGATTCCTGTTCAGCTATGGATGGCCCTAGGTGAAAACATGTCACCTGTAATGCTGAGATTCTATGCCTCAACAGCTCAGGGTATTGAGACAGGAGCTGAGATACACAGCTGGTGAATGGTTTAAATCAAGATGATAATGCCATCACCAGCACTATCAAATATCAAATGAAGGCATCGACTTTCTTTGACAACAAAAGCTGGCATAATAATCAAAGAATGTGAGGTTTACAAATAAGTTAACATGTAATTTCATTTCATGCCTGCTAAGGGAGGTGCAGTTTTTAATCTCCATTTTATAAATCATACGATAATAGGGTTAGAGGAATAAGGAACCTTAGAAGACAGATAATTCATGATCCTCATTTTTCAGAAAAACAAAATGAGGCTTACATAGATTTAATGACTTGCCTGAATTTACACAGGTAGTGTCTAAAGAGAAATGTAAACACAATTCTTCTGACTCCCATCACCAGTAAATCATGGAAGTTTATCCTATTGCTGTTACAGGAAGCCTTTGTATCCTTGACTGAGTAGAGGAGGACACTGAGCCCATGTGAGAATCATCTTAGGTCATAACAACGGGCAGATATTCCAAACAGGCTCAGTTGAGCATTCCCAGGAGAGTGGAACATTGAGTGGTGATTTGTATTTTTGTGTCTGCAGCAAAAATTCATGAGGAAATTGGACGTGTGATTGGACATAATCGACTTCCTTCCATAAGACAGACAAGATATGCCCTATATGGATGCTGTGGTGCATGAAGTGCAAAGATTCATTGACGTTGTACCTCTCAACGTACCCCATGCAGTGAAAAGGGACATCCATTTCCAACAATATATCCTCCCCAAAGTCAGTAGTCTTGGGAGAATGGGATGTTAAACATTATTTATTCCAATGATCTCATCATGAACATGAGAAAATGGAGTCCCATTGTCATGATCTCACTTAAAAGTTCTTCTTGAGGCAGTGCTTTATTAACATACAGCCTACTTGCATGTGGTGCTAAATGAAGAATAAGAGAAAAGTGTGCCTTATCTCTGTTCTTCCTGCTTCTCATTCACCACAGTAATGCTCTGGAAAGAAAGTACAGGGAACGTAACAGGGTGAGGTTGCTCAAGAGAAATGTTTTTGTCCTTTTCTCTTACTAGTCAGTGAAGCAGAATGTATAAATACTATTATCTGTCCCATTGTGTAGATAGGGACATTGAGTTCAGGTGTAATGGCTTCCCTAAGATCATTTAAGTGTTGAGCTGAGACTTGAACCTAGGTCTTTAGACTCTAAAATACTGCTTTCTGGGGTTGCTAAATAAAACAGTGAATGAATTAAATTGAATTAGA